GAGAAATGGACTTTTCCAGCGAAAGTTGAATAGTACATACGTGCGTTTTGTTCGGGGGCAGACTGTAGCATCTGTCTCTTATACACATCTAGATGTGTATATTGAGACTCTGTGTGACGTTATGGCATTATTATGAAATTCCGTGACAAGTGTATGATGTGGGGTCGGGAATGGTGTGGTGGCATTGCCTGCTACTCTGTGCCCCCCCCCCTGTGCAGCAATTGAGACCTTGCGTGACGTTGTGACATTGTGAATTTTTTTTGTTGGTGACAAGTGTATGGGCCTCTGGTGTGATATGGCACACGTGCCACCATACCCGACCCGACGGCTATCCGACATCCAAGCAGATGCGGCAGGCTATAGAATCGTTGATGTTGATCCCCCAACGAGGGTGGGGGGGGTGGCGTAAGGGGGGTATCATCTGACGGGACTGATGAGTTTAGATGCATTATTTTTCTTAGCAAGCTAGTCATCGTTGAGGAGGCCAAGGGCGATAGAGTCGGTTCCCTTGCATTCTGGTTTGGGTGAGGACTGGCAGTTCATATTGGATTTGGAATACTAGCTCGGCTGCTTTGTCATTGATGTGGTCTACAGAAAGAATCGGAGTGCCTGCCCTGCGCAGGAAAAGAATGGAGATGATTTTTTGACTCGCAGCTGCTGCTGTGCTGGATCTGTCTATCTATCGTGGAATCATGTCGGAAAAAAGACGAGTCGGATTCCCTGTGGTGGACGATTGAGTCGATGGGGCAGCCACAGAAGGTGCAGAGCACATCGATTTTCGCCTTCCCTGTTCCTGACTCTCCCTTCATCTCTCTCCTTCCCTCTCTCTCCTTCTTGTCCTCAGAACCTCTGTGTTGCTTCTCTCCTCATTTCTTCCCTTCATTCCCTGGCCAAGTCAGTTGGGCATACGCACACACTGGCACACACAATGCGATTTTCAAGAGAGAGAGAGAGAGAGAGAGAGAGAGAGAGAGAGAGAGAGAGAGAGAGAGAGAGAGAGAGAGAGAGAGGACTCTCCTTGTTTCTTCCCTCCATTCCCTGGCCAAGTCACTCAGGCATACACAGAATTCGATTTTGATAACAGATACACACACACACACACACACACACACACACACACACACACACACACACCTGTCTCTTATACACATCTAGATGTGCTGCAACGACGGCAATGTGGGTGTGTCGGGGGGAGACCCGTTGAGAAGGTCGGGGTGTGCTAGGGAGGTCTGGAAGTGAGAAAGTGTAGCCAGCTATCTATAAGCAAGAAGCCGAAGTCGTTGCTCTTCCCCTCGGCCGTGAAGCTGGCTCACTTTTTTTTCCTGCTGTGATGCTGTCTTCTCTCTTCTGCTGACCTCATAAAGCCCAGTCGTACTGACTGACTCTTTCTGAGGATCACGTAAGTATTATCATAAGGATCTGGTGACTGCTGATGCTCAGATATCGGCTTGCTGTTGTTGTATAGTATAATATAATACTCTCTGCAGTGCGAGTCTTTCTAGTGACTGTCTCTTTTCTAGTGACTGTCTCTTTTCTGGTGACTGTCTGTTTTCTAGTGACCGTCTCTGGCGACTGTCTCTCCCTGCAGCTACAGCCTCCGTTTGATTGGATGCTATTCACGGTCTCTGTCTTATCCGTTATCCTGTGTGAGAGCCGTCTCTTTGATCCTGTTGGGTCTCGATCTTGTCATCATTTCGGATCTGTACTTCCAACTGCTTTTAGGTCAAGTGCATGCGTGGACGCTGCTGATCCGAGGAGGACATCAATGCGCGCGATGGAGTAGGATGGAGGAGGACGTCAATGTGCGCAATTGAGTAGAGGACAAGAGGCCTCTCTCTCTCCACTACTCTCCCCACCTGCAATGCAATCTTTCCATGTTTTAGCGGAGGATTCAGTCTCATTTTGCACATTTGCAGAGTAGTGGAGTGATGCCCAATGCTTTTCATGTTTGTAGTGAGCGGAGGGGTTTACGCTGCGGAGCCCACGCATTTCTTGCTTTTCGTTCTGTCTCGGCCCTTTGATCTTGAAGTGGGCGGCCTGGATTTCCCTAGAGAGCTCGAGTTCTAGTGGAAAGTCACAGTCCTAGAATATGCCGACAAGTAAAATCTTGTTGCGTCTGCTTATTCCGCGGCGCAGCGTCGAGAATAGAATGCTGTGGTGGCATTGCCTGCCACTCTGTGCTGCCCCCCCCC